CTGAATGAGCCCAGTAGTGCCCAGTGCTAATAAGGGTCCATGGAACTGACAAATTGGCAGATGGGCTCTACTTGCAAAGTATGAGAAAAGCCCTGTCAAGGGTGCTACAAGACTGCTTTCAGTTATCTGAAAACCCAACCTTCTCTTTCCCAGGAATATTCTTAAGGTTTTTAAGGCAAAATGGTTGCATCCAGGGTCTTTGATCAGAAAGCCTCAGTTTCTCAAGAGTGTGAGGCCCTGGGACCACCATCAAAGGAACTAGACCTGAAAAAGAAGTGGAAACTCTTCTATACTCAGGGGGCAATAGTTCTGTGAGCATCTATGTGTACCAGGGTTCATTTTGGGCAAAGACCTGAAGACTCCCCTGTCCCAGTAGCTGATGGGAGTGGTCCCGAGACCCATCATTTCAAATTCATTAGCAACAATCCTCTAATACTAAAGATAATCCAAAAGCAAGGGCTCTGAGGTGTCTGCTCCAGTCCTGGGCTTGTAAGGAGAGAGCACCTCCATTCTTATAAAGACAGAGCACCTCACACTTCTACTCTGGGTAGGCCTCTCGGTCCACCTTCTGTCTCTGACCTAGACTCAGCTGTCCCTGATCAGTAAATAGGTTTCCGGTGTTGACGCCCCACCCCACCCCTGTTCAGGGCACAGCTGCAGAAAACGACCACAGGCAGGCCTCTGGAGGCTGCAGTGTGCACTGGGGTGGGGTGGCTGTGTTATTTCTCCTTTGTCTGGAACCCTGCCCATCTGGATCCTTGCTCCTCCTCCCACCACTATCCCTGTGGAACAGGGGTATAGAAATAATGGAGAGGAACTGGGATGAGATAGGTTTCTTGAGTTCCTCCACCCCTCATGTCGTGAATTGTAAGTGACCAGTATCCAAACTGGTGAACCTGCTTTCTGATCCTGGCAGAGACAGAGACAAAGCCAATGACACCTCTCCCCTCAGCCCTCTCTCTGAATTCAGCCCTAGAAACAAGGGCTTTGAGGGTATGCTTTCCTCATTTTAAAATATATTGCAGGACCAAAGACCAAGGTGAGGTGAGACTCCTCCAAGGCCAAATCATAAGCAGGACTGAGGAAAGGTGGACTACCGTGGACTACAGAGAAACTCTTTCTCTGAAGGAGCTCCCCAGAGCCATTCTCAGGATGGCAGGGCGGTTTTGTTTTGTTTTGCTTTGTTTTGTTTTTCTGGAAGGAGGACACTAAGCTAGTGCCTATGCACAAAACTATTTTCCTGTGTAGTTTGAACAGAACCCTCAGAATACTGCTGAAGTGGGAAGGAACTGAAGATATTACCCAAACAGCTCAGATTCATATTTCACACAGAACAAGATTGTTGCAGGCCAGTTTTGAAATGCCAAATCCCTTGCTTCTGCAGCACCCCACAAAGCACAAAAGGCTGAGGGAGTTTCCCTCTGGAGTGGAGATTATTCACTACAGTCGGTAGATTCCAAAGCAAGCCAGTCTCTGGGAACTTCCAAGGCTAAGAGGCGAACATCAGACCTGATGTTCTGGCCACCTAACCCAGGCTCACAAGCCATCAAAAAGTGGTCCTGCAAAGTTAGGGTAGCCCAAGATTATATATACAGTGATTTCAGTGATGAAACTGTGTTTTTCTGTGCATCAATTTTGCCTCCACCAGCTCAAGAACCCTTGAGTGTGAATCCAGGAGAGAAACACTAGCAGGGATGTTCTCCATGCCCTGCACCAAATGTCCTCAGGCTTTGCCCTGCACAACAATGGCATAGTTGCCTTCCCCCCTAACAATAGAACTTTGCCCCCCTCCTCAGTGCTAGGTACTGGAGAAAGAAAACTATGCAGGAAGAAACTCCATTTATGTAAATCGAATTGACTTTGAAAGTTTTTCCATTTTAAAAAGGAAGTCCATTGGAAATAATGTCTGAAAAACCAAGATACCAGGGAACTTGCACCTTAGTCTTCAGCCACAAACCCAGCTTCAAGAGGAACACTCTCCCTCCCTACCTCCCCATTCCCTTCTAGCCAGTGGTCTGAAAGCCCTGCAACATCAGCGGGACTGAAGGTGCTCCAGTGCTCTGTGGGCCTAGAGTCTATGAAGACAACCCAACTCTATCCCATTTCTCTGCTTTTGCTTGGGTTAAAACAAGACTTTCAGGGTTCAGATCGGTTGCTCTGTTGGGGTGGGCAAGGGGTTGGGGTGCCAGTGATGACACTGACGCCCCTGTACTAACCTGGTTGTTCTTTCTAACTCCCATTTTAAAAGAATCAAAGAGAGAAAGCAACCAACCAGATCAGATCAGATTCCTGAGAGATCAGGGGAGTCTGGGAGATCATATTCCTGAGCCTCCATCATGCCATCTGCTCTCCCTGGCCCAGATCTGTCTGTAAGAGTATCTGAAGTAGGTGGATTAAAGAAGAGTTTGACCTCTTTTTTTTTCCCCCAAGAAATTTGTAACTGTCTTTGTCTAGGTTTGTTCTCATTACCAGGGCACCCACAGACCAGGGACTCTGGAACTACCTTTCTCTCTCCCAAGGCTCAGGCAGGCAGCTCCCTCTCTTAGGACTTAGTTTTCCATGTGTAAAAGGAGGCCTCCCAAGGTTCTGAGAGATGAAGATCTACAGACTGCAAGTACTGTTATCATTCAACCCAGAGTCATCCCAGAGCGGGGGGACTGGATGCCAGTGTCCATTCAGAAAGTGTCCATCCTATCCAGCTCTCCGTGGCCTTGCAACTCCATAACTCCCAGGCATCTAACTGACCGATAAGATTTTTTTCTCCAAATGGCTCTATCTCTTCTCCCAGCAAAAATGAGAGATCTCAGGGAGAGAAATCACCTTTAATTGTACTCCCTCCATAAGTCATGCCTCATGCTCTCAGACAAGCTTCTGACCCTCTCTGGATCTCAAGTTTTCCTTTTTGCTACCATAACAAAGACATTAGAAAAGAGGACTCTTAAGAAGTTGTCTGCTTAGAGCTGACCTTACCAATCTTGGGCTTAGAGCTAGAAGGATTTATACTCTTCACATTGTAAATGGTTGGGGAAACTGAGGTGAAGAGACAGACTGGAATATAATTCTAAGGGAAGTTAAAGAGGGCATAGGTAACCATTAAAAGACTCAACGTTAGGGAAGAAATCTCCTAAACTGGACCTTCAATATTTCCCCACTTTAGTCATCTTCTCAGTCCTCTCCTTTTCCCCAGTCAGGTCCCAGTTCAGTGCAGACTGCCAGAAATGCAGTATCCTGGGAGATGTCCTTTTCCAGGCAGGTGGCCCTTAACTCAACTCCTAGGTGAGGAAGGGGCGTGGCTCTCCAGACTTTAAAACTCTGAGCAGCCTAACCCACGCCCCCCCCCCAGCTAGGCCTGTCTAGAGGAGAAATGAAATGCTTTATTGATTAAATGATTATTCAGGCGATTGAACTAATCAAAGAGCCCATCGACTGCCATGAATTACATTCTTTGTAGACAACTTGTCGTCAGAGGCAGCCAGGCCAGTGTTCCAGACCCTCTCCTGAACCCTCAGACTTCTGACCCAATTCCAATGTATATACAGCTCCTAGTCTCTAGGCACAGGCATTTTTAGAAGTTTCACCTGCTAAGGGAAAGTGGGGAACAGTAGAGGGGGTTTCCAGATTTCCTCTCCCCGTACTCCTCCTCTTCAATTCTCCCTGTCTCTTAGATAGTTGACTTTGCTTCTTCAGTCATTATTTTGGAAACACCATCTCTGCTAGGAGTTGTACAGGTTTTGGAATATAAGTTAACCCCTCTGTATTTGGAGTGGGGATGGGGAAAGTGTTGCTTTTGCCTAGGGCAGAAGACTGCTTACATGACAGTTAGCACAGGTGGCCTAGCAAATAAGAGACTCTCTACCAGCTTTTACCTCAGGGCAGACAGAGGCCTCCTGCAGCCTGCCACCTCCTCTCAAACATAAACACACCCAGCTACCCACTGCCTGGGCCTGTGGGAAGCACACCAGGCTCTGTGCCAGGAAGATCTGTGTGCCTATGGACTCCAGAGCCATATGCCCAAGCTAGGGACATGCGTGCCCACCCACTTGTGCTCTCCTCCACTGGAGCATCTCCCACAAGATAAAACCTGAGCATCCTACATGCACGCACACACACACACACACACACACACACACACACACACACACCAGAATCAGAAGCTTGTCTAGCTGAAAGCAAAGATAGGCTGGGGGCCCTAGAAAATGTGATGGCTAGCCTACAGACTGCCTGCTCTCACCTGTCAAGAGTGCATGCCACAGCAGAACCTTTAGTCAAATGGCAAGCTCAACAGTGCCCACAGAATGAAGCAGACACACCAAACACCCACACCGAGGGGATGAGGGGATGCATACCCTGAACTCCTGCCTCCACTCTTGGGTATCCCTGAAGAATAGGGCCTGAGCTTGACTGTTAACAGGTTTTAGCACAACAGACATCAGCACCACCTCCCTGACCATCTCTATCTATGCCCAAAGGCAAGCACTTTTGTATACACCGTAACAGCTTTTGAGGACCAAAAATGAAGGGGTCAGTGTAACCATCTGTTTCCAAAATCACTTAGGCTATGACTGCTGAACAGAAGACCACACATTCTGGATATTCAAAAGGACAGTACCCAGGAACACGCATACACGAATATAAAGACACACACACACACATAAGCTCTTGGACAGGCACTAAGACATTTGAAAATACATATACAAGGCACAAACTCATTGTTATTCAGGTAAATGCTGAGGCCCAATGTAAACAGCAGACCCAAACAAACTTTCAGTCACCCGCATAAACTTAGAAAAATAGAGTGAAACACAAACTTCAGATAGCTAGACTGATGTGAAGTGAGTAAACTGTTTAATGGAAAGACACAATAACGCACCGCAGACAGACGCACAGTCAATCCCTGAGAAAATACAGCGCACCCCCTCCCCCAGAGCCGACTCGCGTGAGGACCAGCTCACGGCTGGGTCCCTGAGTTAGCACGCCTGGAGCGGGTATCGCTGTCCTACCTGTCCTGCCGGTTCGAGGAGTCGGGTAATTTTTCTCTAAATCCATTTTGATTTTTCAGAACTTGATGGAATGGACAGGGAAAAAAAGTTTCCACTTTTTTGTGTTTCCTTTTTTTTTTTTTTTTTTTTTTTTGGTGCCAGAGGCCGCTCACAGGTCGGAATAATTCAAGCCTTCCGCTCCCCCGCCGAGCTGGGGTAGCTGATCACTGAGCTGAAACTAAACGTTTTAGGTGGAAAAAAAGCGACCGAAGGCACCGTGAAATGATTAAGGAACTAAAGAGCTTCTCGCCATGTGAGATCATGTCCTGTTCTCGCCAACATCACAAGATGTCCCCAGACGCGCCGCGCCCCCAGCGTGCCGCCCCGCGCTACGGGCCTAGCTGGGAAAGGGTGTCTGCGCGGTGCAGCGTGTTGCTCAGTTGGCCAGACGGGGCGGGCCGGGCCGGGCCGGGCCGGGTCTAGTAGGGCTGGAGCAGCGCGGGAGGCCGGGAGAGCAGCAGTGCAGCCGCCGCGCCGCCCTGGACTTTTATAGGGAGTTGGGGGGAGGGAAGGAAGGCTTCGACCGAGCTCCGCGTTAGCCCGCGCGCCTACGGGAACCGGCCGACGGAAGACGAGCCAGAAGTCCTGCACTCTGCAAATCCCTGTGCCTTGGTGTTCTGGCGCTCTGTGCGGGGCGCCCGACAGGTGACGCCTCTAGCCGCAAACACCGCCGACTAGGTGGGTGCAGGCCGGGATTTTGTTTTTAAAGAAATAAACCATTTTGCCAAGCCTGTGCTTTTGAAGGGACTGTAAAGGCAAGCAGTTTTGTTAGGCACGGAGGAGCAGTCCAGTTGCCTAAGATTCACCTCTAGGGCGGCGCCCGCTGCAGAGCTACAGCCGCCTTACCCTTCCACACCAAGCTGCAGTCCTAAAATTACTGCTAGGTCCCTGACTTTGGGGGCAGTGCCAGAACTCGAAAGTCCCCATGTCCCATTCGGCCTTTTGGTACCAGTGCTCCCCCCCAAAACAGATCTCATTCAGGCCCGTAGTAAAGAGATTAAGCTGTGAAAAGCTGGAGATAAAGGTCTGGGCCTCCACTTTCAAGCAGCGGGGCAGAAAAGAACCACCTTAGGATGTCCCAGAGATTGGCAAGAGTCCCGGACACCTTACCACGACCCATAAGTGGAATCTTTTAGCCCTCAAACCCTGAGACGTTGCTTGGCCTCGGAGCCCCAGGACTTGATTCTGGAGGAGAAATAAGCCCGAGAGAGACCGGGCAGAGGTGTGACACGTCCAGCCCTCTCTTCAGCCCAGACTCAAGACTTGCCTCCCTCCCCCCACCATGCCCCCTCCTCCCCATTCCTGAGTCCAGCTGCTTGGCCAGGCTGCGGGAAACCCTTGAGGCCCCGCAGCGGAGTGGTCGTAGGGAGAAGGTTCTCCAGGGCGGGGGAGCGCTCCACAGGAGCACTCTTGGCCGGCCGGACAATGGCAGTTTCAAAAAGTGAATCGCCCTCCGCAAAAGTGTTGTTTGTTTTTTGGAAGGGGTGGTCACGAGGCTGGGACGGAACTTAGCGGGAAGAGCCCAGAACTCAAGGAAAGGCGGGGGTGGGTTGGGGAGCGCAGCGGGAACCGGACAACGCTTATCCGCTGAGCCGATTTTGCCACAATCGGAAACGTGGCTGTGGCTTCTCCGGCGGCCCCCCCCGCCCCCCCACCAAGTAGTCTGTTCAGTCCCCCTGCACCGCCTCTTTTCTGCAGCCTTCAGGTCTGGGTCTCCGGCCGGGCGTTCTGATTTTTGGCCGTCTCTGAGCGCCCGACTATGGCGTTGCGGGGCCTCAGCCCTGGCTTCCCGCCCTCCCGCCTAGCCCGCGCGGGTAGGCTGCGCCGCGGAGCAGCGGCCTGTCGGCGCCGTGAGATCAAAAGCCCTCTCGGAACTGACATTTCACCCCAGGCTGGGGGCGGGAGTTGTTGGGTTGTTTGCTTGGATTTTTTTTTTTTTTTCAGTTTCCCCGTTTAGAGGGTTTGTTTTTTGTTTTCTGTGAGTTCTCATTATCTATGAAATGGTCTTTTGTTTCGGGTGTTTTGCGTGTTGTTTTTTCGTGGATTTCATTTTAGCGGATTTTGCTCAGTGAGTCTTGGGATTTTTTGGGGGGATGGGTTTTAGCATGTGTGTTGTGACTTTGTGTGATTTGTGGACTTTGTCCTTGTACGTTGGCTTTTTCTTGTGTGTCGCTTGGAAGCCTGTTCCCTATGCGCGGTGTTTTGAAGTCATGTTAGTGGGTGTCGTTTGTGTTTTGCCTTAGGTGAATTGTGCGTGGATGTGCGTTTTTTCTTTTCGATTTTGATCTTGTTTTTATGAGTCTTGAGTTTGTATGCAGATTGGATTTCTCGTTTCCTGTGTTGGTTTTAGTTTTTGTGTTTGTGCCAGGCTTTTGTGCGCGGTGTGGGGCTTTTGGATTCGGGAGGGGCACCGGCCCCTACTCGGTTCCCACCCGTAGCCAGGAAGAGCGGAGGATTAGGCCAAGCATCACGACCGGTGGGTTCGTCAGGTTCGGAAATACCTGACCCTGGCGTAGCGGGGTCGTACTCTGAACGCTCCAAACCGTGGTGAAACAAACGCGCGTTCCCGAGGGGGCGCCCGCCCCAGTCATAACCCGGCGAGCCCATAGTGTCTGGGTCAGAATGCACAGACAACCCCCCCCCCTCGAGAGGCACCCTGGCCTCAGCGCGGTTCCCTAGTTGCGTCGACGCCCTCCTTGCGCTGGGGCAGCGTGCTTCCGACCTCTCCGACTTCCGAAACGTTGGACCGAGGGGTCGCTTCCCGCCGCTGAGCAGGTGGCAAACCTTTTCGGAGGACGCGGAATTGACACTGCGGGTTTAAGAGATGCTGGGCAAGGGGGGCTGGGCCGCATGGAGTGTAGGCGCAAATCGGCTTAGGGACCCCGGCTTAGGGATCCCTCGTCTGACTTGTCCGCAGCCCTAGAATCCCAGAAACTCGGCTCCGCTGAGCTTTCGGTTTGAAGAGCTGCCACCATAGATAGATCTTAAGTCTACACTCTAGCGATAGGCATACACAGCTAGAGAGCGAGCAGGCGCATTGGTAGCAGCGGCCTGCTTGGCGGAACCAGAGGGGCACCATCTCAAGGGGAAGCCAAACTGGAGTGACCGGAAATGTTCCAAGGAAAGAATAAGGCTTTCTTTCCGTTCACGTTGTCGGAACTTCTCCAAGCTCGATACCCCTGGATTTCTTTAATGCTACTTCAGGGAGGAAAAGAGGGAATTTTAGAACGACTGAAAGACTCGCTTACTAAATCGGCAAGGAAACGCGGGGAGAATCTATAGAGAAATGTGGCCAGGGAGCGACGAGACTATGGGGAAAGCAGATTGGAGGCCCAGGAAAGGGACTAGTGCGGATCCTACTGGGCCCATTCGCGCTCTGACTGTTGATAAAAGGGAGAAAGCAGAAATCGAGAACAGAGATTGACAGAAGAGGCTGCCGAAGAGGCTAGCCCTGGCACGGCCGCAAGCTTTGCCTCCAGCCAAGACACAGCAGTTTAGGGAGACGGAGGTCGACGTCGGGAGGCGAAGAGCCTAGCGTCGGCCTCTTCTTGTTCAGGAAACACCCAAGAACTCCAGGGCTTTTGACGCTGGGACTGGGACTCGCTTTCTGTCCGGCGCCTCCCAATACTACCAGCCCGAGATCCAGCCAAGGTTGGGCCGCAGTTGTCCGCCTCTGGGCCTGCCTGTGTGCGAAACCTGAGAAAACCTGCCAAAAAACCACTCTAGCCTTGCGGCTGTGGGCAGAAGCCCGCGTGGTGGAGGGTGGGGGCCAACGTCCAGCAAGAAGCGAGGAGGCCCCGCCCTAAAGCTGGGGCCCACTTCTGGGAGCCGCCGAAGTCACAGCTGGACTCGCAGGATTTGGGGTTCGCGCAGCACGTGTCACCGCACCTTTGGCAGGCGGCGTCCCTAATACCCAGCCCCGCCCCGCTTGGTTTGCTTGTCCTGGGTGGTGTCAGGATTGAGAGTGGACGCCGAGTGTCGGCGAGTAGGTCCCTCGCGAAATTAGTTTGGGGCTTCCCTAGGGGCGGCACCCGGGTGGATGGTGGCGCCTCTCCACTGGCAACTCCCGGGGCGCAGAGGGCGAAAAAGCGCGCAACGAAATCTTCTTTCGGCGGCAGGTTTTCAAACCGCCCCCATGGCGGAAAGGGGCTGAGGGTTGGCTTATGTCAAGTCACCCATTTTTGCTGCCAGGGGGATCCTGTAAGCCTAAAAGCCTTCGAGCTTTTGATGCTGGTTCGCTGAGGCACCATGTGCTAACGGCTCGCCACCCAGAAATACTCGGGGAGCGCAGGAAAATAAGATGGGACGGTGTTTGGGGGACCTGGTGATCATGGTGGGTTATTGCTATTGTTGTTTTACTTTACTGCCTTTCTTATTTTAATTAAAAGTGTTATTGAGAGATGCCTGAAAGAGCGCAGACCTGAGTCGTTTGGATGGGTTCATTTCAACTCAAATTCAGTAATTCAATTCAGTTCCACGACTGGTTTCCAGCGTACAGGTACACAGGGCAGACATCAAGTGTATGCCATATACATATGCACAGAGGTGCCATTAGAAAGCAACTCTTAGAGAATTTTGAGATAAAATTTCACTCTTCCGATGTTCATCCCAAATATATGAATATGGAAAACAAGCAGTCAGTTGTATATAAAATTTGCAAAGGTACCGCAGCAATCCACTATTACCTAGGAATCCAAAACACAGCATTGAAAAGATTTACGGACACTCTGATTGTTTCACATTGAAAACGAGTGTAATCCAGCTTATTTCTCTTCACCCTTCTTTATAAATTTAACAAATCCACAGTTTGTAAGTAACAAAATCCTAGTAGCTAAAGAAAAGTTTATATAGGATCTTTCTTCTGTCAATATTTATATGAAGAAATGTTAGCTCTCCCCTCCCCTTTTTCTACTGATATTTCTCCACATAATGTGAGCTTTAAATATTCATGCTGTGAACCAGACTTACATTTATTTAATATATTTTAAACTAATAACATTTTAATGTGATATAATTTGATTCCATGAAGTGGTGGAACATAAAGGAACCTACTTCACAAGTGATTTTGAGTGAGTGCACAGGTTAAAC